CCCTGCTATGATCATATCATCATGACAAACTACAATGTTTTTAATATCACCAAAATGCTTTTCAACTGCCTCTTGAAAAAGGTCTTGAGAATTTGATAACCCAAAAGGTAAAACTAAAAACCTGTAAGTTCCATAGTGTGTAGAGAAACAACATTTCCATGAAGAATTTTCATCAATTGAAAGTTGGTGATAACTTTCAGATACATCAAAAACAGAATATACATTTTTGTTTAATAATTTTGAACATATTTCCTCAATGGACTCCCCAACTCTAGGTTTGCGTACTATATGTTTATTCAGATCTGAGGGATCTAAACATATTCTTAATTTAATACCATTACTCTTTTCGACTATCACCATTCTATTAATACTTGCCCTGGGGTCTATGTTTTCTACCTTAACAATTGCTTTTCTTTGGACTAATCTATCTAGCTCAGTTTTAAGTGAATTTCTAATTTTTATTGGACACTTGGTAGGTGGATAGCAAACTGGTTCAAATTTATCATTTGTTGTAATTTCATATGTGCCAGGAAATTTGCCTGACCCTGTGAAAACTTCAAAATTTTCATTGATAAATTTATCTGTTAAATCAGACCGGCTTATCTTATTTATTTTTATAGAATCAATACGTTTTACCAAACTTAAATTTAAACATGTTTGTCCACATATCAGAACCTGATTTGCACCATCCACAATGACAAAATCCTCAAAAATATTCTTACCCTTACATTTTACATTTAAATTTACTACACCTATAGGATGAGACACATTTCCATGTGTTAAATGCCTTTAACACATATTCAGTAGGCCTGGTTTTAAATTGACAATTAAATTTTTTATAAACATTTAAAGGAATAACATTTACATCTGCCCCTGTGTCTAACTTAGCTTTCAATTTATAATTTTCAACCTCTATATACTCTTCCCAAGTGTCTATCAAATCAACATTACATACCTTTTTCCTGCTGTTAACATTTCTTACAAAAAATTCATTAGAAGAGGTTGACTCACAATCATCTTTTTCAGTACTTTTAATATTTTTGACCTTGCAGGCAACTGCATAATGGTTTTTTAGTCCACACTTGTTACACTTCTTGCCATAAGCTGGGTATTCCCTCGGACCATGCTTTTTTGCACACCTTCTGCATAAAAAACTTCTTCTTCAACTTCTTTCTCTTCATTCCAAGGTTTCTTCTTTATATCATATTTCTTTTTCTCTATCTTCTGTGTATGATTAATATTTCCTGTGTTATATTAAAACTGTAAATTTTGAGATCTACTTTGCTCACTTGTTCTGCAGAATTCTATAGCTTTATTTAAACTTAATTTGTCTATTCGCAGGAGGGCTTCTCGTGTGGTCGGATCCCTAATTCCCATAACAATTTTGTCTCTTAATGCCTTGTCTTCACATGACTCATCGGGATCTAGGGCATTGTAATTGCAACTTCTAACCAAATGTCTGCACTCTGTCAAAAAATGTTCAAATGTCTCCCCATCTTCTTGTACTCGTTTTATAAAGTTGTACCTCTCAAAGCATTCGTTAACTCTTGGGTTCACATACTTATCTAACAGCTGCATTGTGAATTCATACTTATTTAGTTCTTCATCAGGGATAACAAAAGTAGCCATAATCCGTGCTGATTCATGGCCAATAATATTTCGCAGGGTGGATAATTTCACCTGATCTACAGCGTCGTGTTGTCCTGTTGCTACTAAATAATCTTCGAATGAAATTTTCCAAAATTTCCATTCAGAAGCGGCACTCTGACCCTGGAGGTCGAAATCTTGGGGTAACTTAACATAACCTATTCCATTGACCATGCTTGCCATTTTGGGAACACTTAAATTTTTCTTTTTAATAAACTTAGCACTTAACTTTATCCTTGGACACGTAGATTCCATAAATTGACTGCGCCATGTTTAAAGTATGTTAATAAGGTCTCAATTAAACTACTGTATTGGCTGAACATATATTAATAATATTCATACATTACAACATGATCATGTCGCCCATTGTCCACGTTGGGAAGTGCTGTTGACTTGACATTGACATATTTGACATAGTTACCAGGTTTACGTTAAGCCTATCTTACATTAATGTCAAACAGTAACATAGAGTTTGGAAACTTAACTTTGTAAAATACTTCATGTTTTATTGTAACTAGGTAATACTTTACATATTTTTTTTTATTTTTAATGTTATTTTTCCATCTTTATAGTGCTGGATCTTAGAATCTTAGAGCTAACTGTTGGGTTTAAATATGACTAAAAACATTATCATATAAATGTATATAAAGTTCTTTCTAGAACCGTTCTAGAACTAAATCATTTAATTTTTCTGTTTCCAACTTAGCAGAGTTCTTGAGTTCTTTCTGTGAGTAGAACGCCAGACAGTAAGAGTTCTCACTGACTGCTGGTAGTGTGTGTTATTAGATTAAGATGTAAGTACTACAAAAAACTCAGAATGTCTGAAGGCTGTCTGTTGCTTATTAGGCTTTAAATTGACATTAGAATTCCAAAATTATTTAATTACTGACAAGTTCTTGTCACAACATTTAGAACAATAAATTAGACTACATTTACCCGTCCCTATTTGTGAACAAAATATTGCAACTATCTTGGTTTATTTTTAGCTCCAGCTGATTTACAGCTAGATTGAAAATCTGAATTTTCCAATCTTCATAATTATCATCAGGTTTTTGAACAGGTAAATTTTCTGTCACATCTGGTATTTATATAGTATAGTGGAATTCTCTAATGTGTTATTTGGACTTTCATCATTATCGTGATTCAATAACAATTCAATAGTATTCTTCGTATGTAGGTCAGAGCTCCTGGTAAAGCAGTTTTTCATTTAGTGATGTCTAAATATTTGGTTTTCAATGCTAGATTCACCAATTTCTGTATAACTCATTGTATCTTTCAACTTAACCATTTCCTTCAAGGTTATATGGTGTTGTTCTACTTGAAATATTCCTTTAGAGTGTAGATAATTAATAAATTCTTGTGAAGTAAAGCTAGTTCTCCTTGTCAGATTTTATATATGCCAGCATTCTATATAAACAAAATAGTGATTTAATCTGTGATTGGTTTGAATTGCTTTCCTACCAGATAGGGTAAACTGTGCAAATACCGGTCGGTGGGTAATGGCGGTCATCCCGATTGTGCGAAATCTATTCAATTTGGCAACCTCCTATAACTGCCAACGTGTCGCTACACTACTCTGTATTCAGATTTCTGACGAGCGTTGAGTTGGCGCAAACCATTGTCATAGAAATATTATTAACCTGTTTTCAGTGTTTTCGATCTTATTTTTATGCTGAGTAATATAAGGTCTTAATTCATTTTTATTCACTTGTAGATCTTAAAATTGGTTACACTTGATTATAATGACGTTAGCTGCCTATTCCTTTTTTAAAGATCAATATTTTAATACATGTTTACGAGTAAAAAATTCTAAGAAAAAAAATAAATGCCAACAGGAGGCAATGACGGTCAGTTGACCGGTATTACCCCCATGCTATAATTTATACCCTATACTATTAATCCTTAGGGATTAATCCTTCCATTTTTCGACATTGCAAGAAAGAATAAAAAATAAAAATCTTCAAGGTGTCTCATTAGGTAGAAACTCAGTATTTTCTGCCGAACAAGAAGCTAAAATAGCCACACATAAAAATATTTAGCTTAATTTTTTATGGCGTAACAGCAATAGAACTGAGAAAATTAGCATTTGGGTTTACAAGATAATTTTTCTTGTAATAAAACACCTTTTTCTTGTAATTGGCATTACAAGATAAAGGTGTTTGATTCTAGTTCTTTGGAATCGGATATTGATATATCATGTGATAACAGTGACGATGCATACGAAGATAGATGCCTGGTTTACAGCGAGTTTGGCAAAAACAATGAATTGTGATATATATATTTACCGTTTGCTTACGATGGGCTTATTCAGAGTGCAGTGGATGGGATTCTGCAGAGAGTTAGGTATACCTGCGATGACTGTCAACTATTTTTACATTAAAACACATATTTTTGTTATTTTTTGTTTGTTTTGTAATAAAAAATATGTTTTCACCTTTTTTACTGATTTACTTGAATTATGACCCATTAAGCCACATTCGTTAATCGTTTTATAACAAAAAAATGTTAAATAGATATTGATTTTTATTTTAATAATAACACAAACAAATTGACTGGCATTACCATCGAGCAATAAGCAGGCCCGGCTCAAGACGAAATTTTCACCCGGGCAATGATCTTTTGAGTCGCCCCCCCCTCTCCTAGTAAAAACACCTATAAAAACAACAACAATCAGCTGTTTTTAAGTTTGCAACACTTTTTGAGTAACTGCTGATTTTAAGACCTTTGATAGCCCCACTGTAAAATGTTCGTATTAAATCAACACAGCATGACATCACAGGATGTTAACATCTTTTGTGTGTGTCATATGATATTGACACCGTCTGTGTGTAATTTGGACACCAACTGTGTGTTATATTGACACCGTATGTGCATATGACACACAGACGGTGTCAATTTGACACTCACAAAAAGTGTGTAATACCATATAAATGTAATTGGATAGTAAATCAACGCCATTTTTTTACATAAGCGTTGTATATTTTGCACGGTGTCAGTTAAAGAAACATAAGACTTTGGACACAGTTTGGACGTAAAGTATATTTACATTATATTTAAAAATATTATATAAAGAACAATGAACAATAGCCTGGTGTCAATGATGTAATGATGTAATTTAGTCTGTTAGGCTTCTGTAAGTATTGCAAGTCTAGTTTACAAAGGCAACTTTACGAGCCTTTTTTTCAGCAAAGTCCTTAATGATGTTGCTTAAATCAAGTCGTTGTAATACATCATATTCTATAGACATAAGTGCCAGTCCTAGGTACTAGCCGTTCTTGGGACATAGTGGATCTTAAGTAGTTTTTAATTAACTTAAGTTTAGAAAAGCTTCTTTCTCCAGATGCAACACTTACTGGAAGAGAAATAAGAATTCTTAGAGCTACACAAACGTTTGGAAAGTTCTCACTTAAAGAATGTGATGAAATAAATTTCAAAATGTCCTTTGGTTTATCTCCACAATCGTCGGGTAGAACTGTTTTGAGCACTAAGAGTTCCTGATACATCTGGTGTCCTTCAACATCACGGTGCTCTCCATCAGTTAGAGATATCTGCAGGTCTGCACATTTAGTCATTAGAGTATTGATGTCTTCTCTTTTCAGTTTGTAAAGAAATCCAAACGTGTCATTGTGGGTGGATAACTGAGAAAATCTCTCTTCAAGTGATGCGATTGTTGTGTCCAAAATGTAGAGGTAACATTTACTTCTGAAGTTTACTTTTGGATCCACAACTGCTTCATCTCGTACCTCATCATCAAATTGGCGCTTGACTCTCCTTGGTCGAACTTGTTGTTCAGAAGGGAATGATGGTTCAACTTCAAGGCTTTCTGCTACTTCTCGAGCATCAACAAGCATTTCTTCAAACCCCTTGTCACTTCTTATTTCATTAAAGTAGGACTACAGAAGCTATCAGTTCCATAGCGGCTGCAATATCAAAATCTTCTTTTTGTAGCAGTTTACTGATCACATTTATGCTCGAGAGAATTGTATTCCAAACCACCAGACAGCAAATAAATTTGAAGTTCTTCAGCTTCTTAGCCAGACCTAAGGCTGTACTTTTAGCATAAGCATCACCTGATGGGTCAGTGGATAATTCAAGAAGTGCATCATAGATTTTACCAGCTTGGTAACGTACAGGTCCGATCGCGTCAATGCGACTTTCCCATCTTGTGTAGCTGAGTGGTTTCACAGTCAGAGCAGATACATGTTTTTTTAGAACAGTCCATCGATGGGTAGAGGCAGACAAATAGTTATACATTTCTTGTAAAACCATGAAAAAGTTTACAGCATTGGTACAAGACAACGCTGAGTCATTGACGACCAGGTTAAGAGTGTGTGCGCTACAAGGGACAAAAAATGCGCGAGGATTGATGTCCAAAATTCTTTTTTGAACCCAAGCGTTTTTCCGTCTCATATTTGATCCATTATCGTACCATTATCCTCGCATGTTCCCTATTGGCAGGTTTATTTCGTTCAGTTTGGACAGGAGAACGTCAGTTAGTGCTTCACCTGTTGAAGACTCAATCGGTATAAAGCACAAAAAACGTTCTTTTACCTCTGGGTATTTTCCTTCATCACATAGCACATAACGCAATACCAAAGTCATCTGCTCCGTTCGGCTTACGTCTGGTGTGCAATCTAAGGGAGAGCGCCCACCAAAGTGGCGTGGCAGTGGCAAGTAGCAAGTAGCACGCGTCTAGCATAATGTAACCAATCCTAACGAATGATTAGAATGAATGACCTTACTGTCATTTTGGTGTAAACTGAATCATTCGTTTTCATTGGTTACATTATGCTAGACGCGTGCTACTTGCTACTTGCCACTGCCACGCCACTTTGGTGGGCGCTCGCCCTTAAATTACCGAATAGTACTTAGACTTTTGCACCTCGCTCAGAATCTGGTCACGAATCAACGAGCCTAACTGTTCTATAATCTCATTTTGGATATTTTTCCCTAAATAGTGAACATAGGATTCCTTGCATGTAATTTTCCTCATGTGTTCTGCGATCACAGGATCAAATTTTCCAACAAACTCAACAAGTTTTAAGAAGTTTCCATTTTCTCTAACGTACAGTTGGTCTGACGATCCCCGAAAAGCTAAGTTCTGCGAGCCAAGAAATTGTATAAAAATGATTATACGTTTTAGTACCTCTTGCCATCGTCCCACTTCAGCCTGAATCATTTTTTGATGTTCTGCATCGATGGTTTTTCCCATTTCCAACCTCAAGGAACATTCCTTCCAAGACTGAAAAGCCTTCATATGCCCTGGGGACCTTTCGTGTTCAGTTAAAAGTTCTGACATATGTTTCCAATCGTTAAAGCCTATTTCAGAAGACAGTGAAAGTCTAACTTTACTAAAAATTCTGCAACAAAAGCAATATATGGCGTCTTTTGATACTGAATAAATCAACCAAGAACGTGATACCTCCTCTCCATTGGCCATGCGTCTACGGTAACAGTTGACAGTGAATCGACGACCATTTTTGTTCACCGGAAAGTCCATAATAATTTGTTTTGGTCCTCTTCGGACGAGGATGTCTGAATCATTCCTAGAAATGTCAACGGGCCACGCTCCTGGGTCATGCGATAGTACTGCTGTTTCTTCCGGCATCTGTAAAAAAAGTTAATATTGAAGTATAAATTAAAATCTAGTTATAACACGAAAGTAAAAAGCAAACAGCAACAATTTTTTTGAAAGCATACAGAATAACTTCTGATTTAATCTAATTCATAATGAGATGTTCGTATAAGTATACGTATCAGCGTATCTATACAGAGTTGAACAAAAATAGTGTATTTTTTGTTTACTCTTTGTTTAATTCAGTTGCAAGCTGTAATTTTGTTTTTTTTTTAGAATTCTTTTTTCTAACGACAATTCTTATTTTTTTAAATTCAGTATGAACTTTTTTCTGTATATAGTAAAGCAACGTTTAAATACTTTTTACAGCGTGATTATGATGTGTAGTATTCATAAATAAATCTAGGCATACCGATGCTTATCTCAGAACTTCAACTTCTGATATTTCTAAACAATGGAATGTGCATCATACGGCTATAGGCCTACCTTTTCAGACGATTGTTTTCGAGTAACATCATCATCACTATCTTCTTGCAAAAACTCCGTCAGGATATCCCCTTTCGTTGCGTCCTTTTTATCTCTATTTGATCAGTTTCACCACCAAGTTGTGGTAGGATGTTCTCCTGAAAAGTGTCAATGGAAAATAATTTACTGATAACTAAACAGATATAATAGTATATTTCATCAAAAGGCCGGAAAGTGGCTGTTACCGGTGCACGTTATGCCGATAACATTATGAATGTTATCATTCCACTCTAGTGTTCTATAAATTTAAAATTTTAAAATTTTGAAAAATAAAGAAGAGAGAAGTTAGTGAAAAGTAAAAAAAGGCTTTTTCAAAGACATTTTATAAAAACGAAATTTTATTTAAAAAATCTGGCTTTCTAGACTTCTAGATAAACATTTTGCCTCAACATATCAGTTATTACATTCAATATAACTTTCACCATAGGCATTTAAACAGTAAGGTGCACCCTTAAAGTTTAAGATTTAGTTCGAATTTATACGTACACAATAGTTAGAATATAATAAAAATTATACAAATACTTACAGGAACAGGTGGGATGGTTTGATGGCTTGAACATCCGGAAGGCTCTTTGAGTGTCAAGTCCGCAAACACTATGGTTGTCTAACTGTTGAACTGTGCTGGTTGACTGTGAGGAACAGAAGAACTTTTTTAAGTTCAAAGACTTTTTCATTTTCCTTTGCCTTTTCAATTTTCCTTTTTCTATAAAATGCTCCAGACGGTTTCGGTTTATTTTTACCATCTGCCATGACGTTTTAAACCAAACCGGACCTTATAATGCACTAATACAATTTATTAACCGTCCGGCGCCCTCCCTATATGAAATAATATAATATTTTCAATACGTATAATACAGAGTCTGCACGGACACAAACAGAATGTAGATTGTAGTGTAGATAAATAGGTGCTATCGATCACGATCATTGATTGCTATTCAAGAACAAGAAGATGCGACAGCGACTGCGAGACTGCCACTGCCAGAGTGCTTGGGCGAGTCCATTACGTGAGCCAGAGAGGGGTAGCCGCTTTGCGGAGGAAGTGGTAGGAGGCTTACGAAGTTGTCCTTGTCGTCTGCAACCCTGCGTGGAGTCTGATCAGCTGATCGTGCCGACTGACTGTCGCGCTGCTTTCTTGACTCACGACTAGCGGAAGAACGAGAGGTGAGAGGTTAGGTTCCGAACGTCCTTTGCGATATTTATAATTTTTCGGCTTACTTAAGTTACCTACCGATTGGTTTGCCATTAAAACTATCTAGTATTTGGTGTATAGCCATCGTTGTTATTATTAAAAATGTAATTTGATTAACCCCATTATTTCCAAAGTAAAACTGTCCAAGATAAGTAAAAGGAAAATTCACCTCACGTTGTTTGTTAATTGTTCAGAGCTGTTAGTAAGCAGTGGATCACCAACTTAGTGGATCGCCCGCTGTTAGTGGTCGACAAAGCTGAGGAGCCGCGAATGCAAGGGCACCTTCGGCGCCCTTACATTCGCGGCGCCCCGGGCAACCGCCCGGTTTGCCCGGCCCTTAAGCCGGGCCTGGCAATAAGATAAAAGAGGGAATGTAAAGGTAGTGGGGGTAAACATATTGATAGACAGGAAGTGCTATTTTGAGAGGCCACTTTAAACAAAGAAAGAGAATCTCTTTCCTTGTTTAAGAAATCAAATTTAGTTGGGTTATGTTATTGTTGATTTTATTGTTTGTCAAAACTGTCACATGAAAGCTTATTTATATTTTCTATTGAAGTTGTTTAACAATTGTTTAACATTTTAGACTATTATCGTTATTAATTCATTAAAACTTTATTGTGTTCTAGTGTTAAAAAAGTTTTTTAATAAATAAATAGATAATATACACTATTATGTAATATAAAATAAATAAATAGAAAAATTACAATTAGAACCCCTACACCACTGTATGATTATTGTCAAGTGTCATGAAATTTAAATTTGGCGCATTTGCATTTCCGGATATGTCCGCCATCAGAGGCCACTTTTTTGGTCTCCTTTTCATAACGATTAGATTCCCTCTTTTGTCTTATTGCTCGATGGGCATTACCCATGATACTAAGACTTCCAAGATAAACCCACTTCGCAATCGAATTTTGTACATCGACGCGCATGACGTCAATTGGTGATAAAAGTCACTTTTATCACCAACCTTTTATCATCACAGTCGGTAAAACATATATGGAAAGAAAGGGGTTTTTATTTAAATATTTAGAATAGTAAGGGATGTTAGGTAAAATATCTGCAATTAAATCTTAAAAATATGTTATATATACATTTCTGTTAGCCTAGCAATGTAAACTAAAATTATATAAAAAAATAAGAACTAAACATCCTTTTGCAAATGGAAATTTATATACAATGGATTGATTTATTAAAATAAAAATTTAATACAACTGATAAAATAAAATACACTGTAATAATTTACAAGTTTATTTAACAATTTATTTTACAATTTTTAATATTTTCTTCTTCTTAACTTTGGATGTTTCTTTAATATATCTATTCAATTTTCTAATTTTAAAATATAATTTACACCTTTACTAACATTACATCTGAACACAGCTAAATTTATTAGCGATTTTACAAATATAAAATATATTATAAATAATTCTTGGTTAATTTTAATGACCCTTTGTTAAAATTGTTAAAAATATGGTCCAGTTCATTACATTTAATTAGAAAATCTGGATATGGTTTAAGTAAACCTCCTTCGGAAAGATGGTTTACCAAGTAAACCGATGTCAACGTACAAGATAAACGATAAAACAAAACTAAATCTCAAGGTTAGTAGATATTTAAGTAGATACTTAAATATCTACTAACCTTGACTAAATCTGACAAAACTCCATACAACACAGAACATTTCTGGTGACATTTGTCGCCAAGTGACGTCACACGACTGATCGCGTGCGCTTGGGTTTATCTGTAGTTTATAGTATCATGGGCATTACCCACACTCATGACCGGTATTGTCCATGTATGGTGACAATACCGGTCAAGATACTATTTTATGTTTTGTCTCTGTCAAAGACAAAAATTTTATATTTTTGAAATTAAATGTATCTTTCAATAAGTTAAAACCCCAAATTACGAATTGACGGCTTAAATTTGATTCACAGAGTTTCACTTTTTTTATATTAAATTTTCTTCTTAGGTGACCGCGATTTGCACACTTTACCCCAATGTCTGCATTTTTTTAATACTTCAACGCATTTGCATTTTTTCAATTGCATGTTTTCATTCAGAATCTGTGAGAGTATGTGTGAAAAAAGCAATTGGTTTTCCCCAGTGATTGCTTCACTTATGTAATTATAGACTAAATTTATTACAAGCATGTAGTTATCCTTGTCTTCTAGGGATTTATCTTTAGACTCATTGCTTTCTAAAATAATCTTGAATGTTATATACCAATGTTTGAATTCTTTGTGAATTATGAGAATAAAATTGTAGTAAAAGGCCTTTTGCAGAATTAGGCTTCTATTCACATAAAACTTGACATACTAAGACAAAACAATTATTTAAATACTGACCAGTTCTTGCCGCAACATTAGGAAAACTAAATTATAGTACACTTGGCTTGTATTATTAATATTTCTTGTAACATTTTTATAAATAAAGATTTTATTCTATATTTTATTCTTTTTTTTTCTAATTCTAATTTTTTTAACCACTTTGGCATTTTAATGTAACGTAAAATAAATATAGCCTCAACATAACAAGAAAACCCAAAAAGTATACGAAAAATATTTATTATCGTATAGGATGAGGATTTTTCTTGTTATTTTAGGATTATATCGATTTTCCTTTACTTTAAAATGAGCTCACAATCCTAGGTAATATTACTAAACTTTTGAATTTCGCGCCATGTATATATAGTTAGGCGCCCGGTCACTAGGTGATGCGCTAATCATTGTTTTACTCGTCAACACGGAACACGGGACGGGAGTTTCAATGCTAGGAGGTAGTGTGCTATGTCCTGGACCCTGGACGTATAAACAAAGTATACGTCCATGGAATCAATAGTGTGGAATCAAATAAGTAAAATCAAAGTATATTATAAGCGAAGCGTGTAAATTGTTGAAATTACGTTTGTAATATGGATTTTGATTGGGCCAAACCGTACCCTGAACTATATAAAATGTGCAAAACTTTTCAAATGTTTGACTTATTAAATCCCGTTAAAGTTAAATATAAGCAGTTAAAAGTATTTTTACAAAGTGGACCTGAGTGTGGTCTAGTAGCCCTTGCTATGTGTATTGGAAATCCTACCAGAGATATTATCGAAAATTTATGTAATACAGCAAAATTGAAAAATTATACTCATAATGGTGAAATGTTTAGCATTAATGATATGACTTCTTTGGCAAGTGAATATTTGCAAGGAGATATCAAGATTTTCAATGGATTTTTGGACTGCGATGTTATAAGGAATTTCTTATTGGAGGGTGGTGTTATGCTTGTACCGTATCCTTTGTTATTAATTTATTTAGCATTTCAAATACCAGGTAAATGTCGGAATACAGAAATCGAGAAAAAAAGTTTTTAAACTTTAGTTTTTTATGGTGAATTAAGCAGACAGCTTGTTTTTGATATTAGGTATTCCAGTGAAAGATATATATATTCTATCATTAGTTTGAAAAAGTTGAGACACCTATCTGACTAATCTTAAATTTAAATTGGAAATGCTATCACTTACCTGGTTTTACCTGTAAATCTAAATAAATCAGTTACACTTTAAATAACATATTTAACACAAATATAATAAACCAAGTATAATTTTTTCCAGTTTTGTGATCGAGATATGAGGCTTTTACTAGGTAATAGCAATGTTTTAAGGTATTAGTTGATATTTATGATTTGTAACTGGTTTTCCCTGAAAATTTTATTAACAGCTGTTTGTACTTAGAGTTATTATTTATATGAATGATAGGCTGTTTTATGAATAAAAACAAATTTATTTTGAATATAATATTAACAATATTATATATTATAATAATAAAAATATTATTATGAGGCTTCCTCATCCTATTCATCACTGAAAGCAGGCTCTGGCAAGATGCTGTACCAAATCTCTCTTTTTTGCTATCCTAATTGGCAAATGTGCATTATAAAGTTATTTAAGTTCTTCAAAATTGCTTGTATAAAGGTTGATTCAGACACATCAGTCACGTCTCGTCACAGTCCTGGCGCCGAACCAAACAATCCTTCATACAAAATATTCTTTACTAGAAATATGGCGCCGGCATTCACATTCATCAGGCGACGAACAGTTTCCCAGCTGTCAGATAGTTGATAGTTCTGTGACCAAACAGGACCTGTTCGGCGCCGAGACTATGACGGGACTGATGTGTCTGAATCAACCTTTAGTTGATAGCATGCTTTTGTCTTGTTGACTGATGTGCAGTATCAAGGAAATATTTGAAGCTTGTTGACATGTCATAATTAAAATAGATTTTGTTTGTCTCTCCTTTCACGAATCTCATTCTTTTTACCTTCAACCACATTATTTAAGTGTGTAACAAATTTTTTAAATCATAAAAGTCGTAGTATTTAAATTCTTTACATTTCTATGGTTCTATACATACTTTTTTATCATCAACCTTGATATTTTTAGTTCCTTTTGCATTTTGAAAAACAAACAAGTAATCTGGCATCCCATAGATAGATCTGTGTTTTTTAGCAGTTTCGTTACTACTATGCATAAAGTCAACCTCCATATAGGAAAGTTCAGACTCTAAAAATTTTCAATATTATTTAAATGATCTATGTTTTGAACAGCCCAATAATGGTTAATTTCTGACCAGGCAAAACAGTAAGCTGCATTTGATAAGGCAGCTTCTTCTTCTTCTTAAAGTGCCCTCTCCTCAATGGAGGTTGGCTACTACAATTTTAAACTCTTCTCTATCTTCAGCTGTTCTTATTAGCTGTTCAAAATTTAGCCCTGTCTATTGTCGGATGTTTCTGAGCCATGATGGTCTTTTCCTTCCTAGGCCCCTCTTTAACTCGATTTTTCCTTTCAGTATAAGTTGGGCATATTGGTACTTATTATTTCTCAGTATGTGGCCTAGGTATTGTATCTGTGTGTATATGATGGCAGCTTCATATACACACAAATTATAGATATATAATATTTAAGAATAATATAGTTGTCTAGTCAATCCACTTAATACTTAATAACATAATACAAATATTGTAATGGATTCATAGAATCCTTTTCAAATTACAGTTCTAAGCGTCTGAACCTTGGGCTGTGGAAATTAACTTATCGTTGATCACCTGTGGCGGTTTATCTAGCCATAATAATGTTTTTATTTATATATGAGGTTGAATGAAATTCTCCTGTTTGTTAGTTCTAGACTGATTAATGCGAGGAGTTGCTATTATAATACCAATTTCTTTCATTGGTTTTGTCTCTTACAAGCGGGTTGTCATCCAAACTCATTTAAACTTTTAAATTGACCGCCCAATTATTTGGGGTGGTACCTCCACCTTGTTGATCTGTCAAAAGATTTTTGACCTCAAGGTTGGCTGTCTTTTTGCGGTTAGTTCGTTCTGGTTCATTTAACGCCATTTTTTCGGCGGCAGCTGTAAGGCTTTGATCGGTAACTTCATTTACACTACTTTTTAAATAAAAATTTTTATTAATATCACTTATAATGCTACCTAAAGTTAAAATCAAAGCTTAATAATTATTAAATAGTTGGAAGTATATCTATGATTTTCTTGGTTCCTTTTTCACTACTTATGATTAAATAATATTTCATTTACTTTAGACCACATGGTCAGTTGCTGTGCCAATTTTTTATAAGTTGCTATATGTTGTTAGTTACTTGATTGTTTATACAATATCACCATATAATGTCCATTTACTTGAGTTTTATCCACATAATTGTAAATAACTTTGACTGCTACATGTCTTTTTAAGGTAACAATTATAACATCGTTTCCATGATTGTGTGGTTCTCATATTGTACTTTTTAGATGATGAACTGATGATGCTTTCAGAATACGAAAGCGAAACGTCTTCAAAATAGATAAAGTAGCCTATCAACTTTGTCTTTTATTTCTCCACCTTGAGACAGATATAAGAACCCACCACTCGTCTGAGTGATCCTTATATATATATATATATATATATATATATATATATATATATATATATATATATATATATATTGAAATGATTTCAATATGTCAAAGAGGATATAACTTAAAGGGATTTTTATATGAGTTTGTTGTTCATGAATTTCATGAAGCCATCACAATGTGGGGTCGACTCTGAAATAAAAGGGAGAAAAGATTAGTAAATTGCTAAATAAATTAATTTTGACTTACCTGGTATAGTGTTAATAATTTCTGAATAGTATAGTTGCCTAGTGTATAGGTGAATCGTCTAAACCTTAAAAGGAATAAAAAAGAAGAATTCTTAAAAAATTATTTAAACATAGAAATTTTAAAAATAAACGTCAGAAAAATAAACTGTCAAAAGTCTGTGGGAACTAAATTAATAGGGGTTTTGTTAAATAAATTACAATGATGTGGAGATGAAAAGAATAAATTATATTAGTATTGTTAAGTTTTATATCTGAATTTTTTTTTATAAATTCCCAAATTAGATGTGATTAAAGTGCTTATGAGAAATTAATGTGGTTTGACAAATATGTCAAAACAGGACAGTTTTATGGTTGAATAAAATAGAAGACGGAATGAAAAAAGAAAGCGGGTTGCTGTTAGCAACGAATAATTTTGGTGGTTGGTGCTAGCTATGGCGGTTAACAAGGAAGAATAGGTTGTTGGAGGCGACGAAAATTTTGGAGGAAGAGCCCTAAAAAGGTGGAATAGTCCGGGAGTGCTTTAAAATCGTTTAATTATAATTTAGTTTTTCCACATTTTCAAATAGAGATATCCAGAATTTGTTCCAGAGAGTAAGAGAAATTTTGACTTATAAATTATAATTGGAGTGCAGAAATGTCATTTAGATTGAAAAAGTAAAAATTCATGAATTAACTAATTGCGATAGGCCTTAAAAATTGAAATATTAATGATCATTAAAATAAAAATATAATAGTACGTACCTTTAACTTCCGAAGAGAGGATAGATATTCCAGTATCACCGATTATTTTGCGAGTAGTTAGTTTTCTTTAAAAAAAAAAATCAGAACTGTTTGAAAGTGAGTTTGGATAATAATTTTGGGGATCATTTGAAATTTTGATTATATTTTAATGCTAGTTATAAGTCAGCGGCATAAAGTGTTCAGTTTTCTTTTCTTTATATTTCATTTAAACACTTTATAAAGTTGCAATAGTCATTTAGATTTAAGGTAATTGTAGAGAGTTTCCACATTTTGTAATCAAATTCTATTTTCACGACACATTAAGGTTTACACGATTCCTATTTTTGTAAATTTTTAAAGGCAACCCAAGTTGCAGACGAATTTTATTGTTTATATTAAATTTGTTCAATATTAATAAATAACGTGCTTCATTTGGGTTAATTTATCAAAAATATAAAGTAAATTTTGGTTTAATTTCTTTTTGAACTCTACCAGGAGACTACAGAGTTGACGTCACACAGTGACAGATTGCTTAGAACAAATAATTGAGCTAGCCGAGGTATAGTATATTAACAACGAACTACATACTTTTAAAATTCACTTCAATTCAATTAAAATTATATTTATTAACAATAAAACATAAAAATAATAAAAACAAAACTATTACAATTGGCGCTAACAACGTGGAGCCTCTGGGAAAACAGAAATAAGGGTGTAATTTTTAAGCAGATTTATTAATAATACACAGATTAAAATAAAAACAAATTGGTGTGATTAGAGTTGTAGAGATTCTGGGGTAGTTAAAGTTAAATTTGAGAATAAATAGAGATTAGGATAAAATGGCAGACCGAATGACTTTAAGAAATGGAAAAGAAATCGTACCGAAAGAGAGTGAAGGAGAACAGGTGTTAGAACAGGAACAGGGTATACAGGTAGATGAAGAAAGCAGAGGAGGATCAGGAGAATTTGTAGTACAATATTTAGAGCAAGGCAGACAAGAAGCAGGACAAGGTGATAGAGAGGGAAGTCTAACAGATAGTTTGAGAGAGGAGTTGGATGAGACAGTGAGAGATAGACGTGATGAAAGTGTGAATGAATGTAGAGTGCAGGAGGAGAGACGTAGGGAAGGAGATGTTGGAGAGTCAGGGATGACACAGATGGATATGAGGCAAATAATGCGGATGTTACAACAGATGGATCATAATATTAGGGGAGATATGCACAAAATGGATAGTAATATTAACAATATTAGGGGGGATATGAACAAAATGGAAAATAATATTAAAGGAGAACTTAGGGAAGAGTTAATTAAAATGAGGGAAGAAATCAAAGAAGAAGTGAAGATAGTCAGGGAAGAGATGCTACAAATTACCCAAGGTTTAGAAGAGAAAGTAGAACAGGTCAGAGGAG